ATATATATATATATATATATACATATTATATACAACCCCTCCCCTTCCTATTTTTATAAAAAGTAAATTTCTTCACATTTTTCGTTTTAGAGGGAAAGGTTTTTGTTTTCGTCCCACCCCATTTTGTGCACAATTTTTCTTTGTCAAATAACACCAAAATTTTAATTTCTTTACACTTATTTTCTCTTTTATCTTATGCTTATTCTCTATTTATTCCTTACCAAATAAGGACTCAAGGTAGAAACAAGCTGCATTGTAGCACTAATATAAAGATAGGACAACTTCTAAAGACAGATTGACAACAAAAAGAACATATAGATGCTACAAAATCCCATAATAAAGAACAGAACCACAGGGAGAAGATGCATTTCTTAACCATGGAACTTTGAAACTAATAGATTTTAATCATTGAAGGTAAAAAAAAAAAAAAAAAAAAAACTCACATATTCAAGAAAAATTATTTACAATAAATATTACCGGTAAATGAATTGCATCTGTCAGAACATTTTCAGTTTTAGTAAACAGATGAAATGTATCATCTCCCAAGCTTGCAAAGTCAGTAACCGTCCATAAAATGAATTACATCTTGATGATACTTTATTTATCTTTTAATCAAATTAAATTAGTCTAAAGTAAAATCTTAAGACAGGTGAAAAAAAAAATTGAATATACATTACATTTAAAGAGTAATCAAATACATATATAAATTGAATTCTCAATTTAAGTTATATATATATATATATATATAACTTTTTATTTTATTTTTCATATCTGACATCTTATAGGCAATACTAATTTTAAATATATTTGAATTATTAATTTCAATATAATTACAGTAAAGTTTGGGAGTCGGTAACTTGTTAGTTGTTTTGAAATTTTCAATATATATATTGCATTATCTTTTTTCTAAAATAGTTGAATATATATATATATATATATATGTGTGTGTAAAGTTTTTAATTACAGTAAAGTTTTTTATTTTAAATTAAATAGTAAAATATATAATATATACTTATAGCTAACGTAAAGTAAATGGAATTTAATCGGTTGATAATGTGAAATATCATGTACATATGATTGCTAAGTGATACAGGACTTCTCTAATTTGTTTTTTTTTAAGGAAGCATCTTCACAAAATAGGGACATGCACTCTGAGGAAGACACTATATTAAGTAATGTGATGTGACTTTTCTAACGTTATGTCAGATTCAGATCCATTGAAATTATTATTACTTCACCTGAAAAGTTGGTGGCGGCATGGGCCGATTACTCTATCACATTCACTCACTATAAAAGCAAAATAATTGAATACTTACGAAGGCAACATGAGATTTCGCATACGCGAAAGAAAATGAAAAAAGAATCTAACTATTTAAAATAATTTATTACCCCAATGGTGTAAGAAACATGTGTTACTAATCATGAATATCAGTTGATAGCTATTAGCTAGATCCTCCCTGCCATTGGGTTCCACAGGGAATGAGATGTCACCATTAATTATAAGATGGAAAAACATGTCCTAAGCTAAGAACCAAGCAAGCACCATCATGATATAATAGTTTTTATATGTATATATATAATAATATATAGAAGAAAGGAATGTATTGAAAAGTTGGGAATGTGAAACCAATCATCTTGTGAATAATATTATGATTTATGAGCTGCTACCACTTATCGTCACAAGCTAACCGACACGGTCACCGCAAATAATAATGTCACGCAAAGCTTCCTAGGGTTTTAGAATATTATGTCAATTCCGTCACTTCACATGCATTATAATTATACTTTCACGTCCAAAATATAATTAAAAAAAGTCCCTTCCTTGTTTTGTGCCGAAGGCACTACATGTAATGGAATTTGTGGTCAAGGAATATTGCATGCTAATACACCACCTGTGAGCATAATAATAATTAATTAATGAAGCAATTGCATTTGCGTTCCACGCGTACATTGACATAGCAACAGATCATAAGCTTGCTTCTCCAAATATAAAAAGAAGCTTATCATAAACTACACGAATATGTCAAAGAAGCTTCCCATTGCACTTGTTGAGATTTTTTCTTCTTTTCTAACACTGCTTATTTTTCAATCCTCACGCGGACTATTACAATGTCAACCTTATGTGTAATTAACTAACTGCCACCGTTGAATCTGAAATTTCTCATTGGACTTGTTCACATGAAATTGACATCACCTCGTGTGTATATATATATACATATACATATATATATCACTGCACTACTACATCTCATCCCATGCATTGAAAGTTGAAAGCCTCAAAAACACATAGCTCACCCTCAATACTCTCGAGTCTCAAATTATTAAATATATAGCTAGGTAGGTTATTATTGAAGATGGGAAACTACATTTCTTGCACTCTATCAACAATAGGAAGCAAGCATTGGAGAGACATAAAGGTGATATTCCCTAGTGGAGAGATAGGGCAGTTCGAAGAAGGAGTTAAAGCAGCAGAACTGATGCTTGAGATGCCAAGCTTCTTTGTGGTGAACACGCGGTCTTTACAGATTGGACGAAGGTTTTGTGCACTGAACGCAGATGAAGAGCTTGAGTGTGGCAACGTTTATGCGATGCTTCCCATGAAGAGGCTTAACTCTGTGGTCACAGCTTCTGACATGGGTGCCTTGTTGATCACTGCCAAAAGGGTATCTGCCAAAGTGAGGGTCGTCCCAGAGAAGGAAGCAGAAGAGGCCAATAAGTTGAATTTGAAGCTGGATGAGATTGAAGAGTTTTCTAGCCCTGAGTTCATGCATAGGTTGTCTATGAGCAGGTCAAAGAAGCCTTTGCTTGAGACCATAGCAGAAGAACCCGTGTGTTCAAGATCATGATCCATCACAAATTCAATGGACTGCCTTCTCAATCTCAACATTAATTGTTCAATTCTTCTCGACCAAGTCCAGTTTGTGGCTTTCTTGTGATTGTGGGTCTACCAGTTATGCGTACACGGCATTACTTTTAGGAAATTTTATTTATTCTGATTGGAATTGTATGTAATACTAAAACTAATTCAAAACATACAGTACTAGGCTATTCTTAATTATATTCAATTGTTAGATTTTATTGGATAAAAATTCAACCAAATTATTGTACGTTTTCGGTTAGGATTGAGAGCGAAATTTTATAGTGCCTATTTGTATCTCTTAACATGCATCGCAAGATTTAATTGATATAACTTGGTTCCTGTTTATCGGATTGAAGGAATCTCAAGTTGCACCGCCATCTAATGGTGCTTTGCCTAGCTTATGGGTTTTTGCTTCTCTAACTACTATGTAAAACTGACTTTTGGAAACCCAATTGCTATATTTAAAAAAAAAATTAACTATGATTACAAAAATAATAATGAAGATTAAATTAATTAGTCTTTATCTTTATTCGAACTTTCCACACCAACCTCTGTAATTTTATTAAAAATGTTATATGACACTTGGTAGAAGAGATAAGGAGAAAAATATAAATATAGTAAGTTGATATGACATAAGAATTTTTTAGAAAATTGATGTGTTGAATTTGTGTTTTAAAACGCTCAAACCAACTATTATTTTATTGAAACTTGAGTTCGCTCGTGTTAATAATATACAAAAGTAAAATTAATGATATGTAAACAATATTAAATTTTATTATAATGGGTCTCTTTGTATAAGAAATTTTATTGCTCTTTACGCGCAGATATTTTTTGTTATTTTTTTTTTTCATATAAAAGCATCTCATTACGCGTCTTCCAATGTCTCTTCTCCATCGTTCTACGCGTTACTTGTTGTCAATTGGGGTCAGGTGTTTGGAAATTTTTAATAACTCATTGATTTCATATAATTAAGTTACACGGGTTCTATTCCCAAGTTCATGTTTATGAAAAACAAATATCAACAAAAAAAAAAATTGAACTCTTACGAACTTTCAACTAGAAATACTCCAAATTCATAAAGAATAAAAAGTGCTAACAACATACTTTTTATTGCACTCATTTTTATTAATTAAAATTTATTAAAAATTATAAATTAGAAAATAAAATTATTAAATAAAATATAAAATTCACCAAATTTTAGATTTTACAATAAATTTCATCTGATTATAAAATTCATTAAAGAGTGTGTAAAAGAATATATTACTAACATTTTTTTTCATCATGATAATTATTTTTTTTTTGTCTATATATAGAGAGAGAAAGGAGGGATCAATTTATTTTAAGAGTAAATTTACTTAAACTTATTCCGTTCATAACTTATGTTCTATATTATATTGTAATAATTCAACCGTTCAATTTAAAATTCTTAATGTATAGATTAAATCTGCAAATTTTATAAAAAAAAATAAAAATCATTTGATATTTCTTTCATTAATTCAAATCAACGTATAAAAGAATTTTATGATTATCCGTCAATTTGAATTAATGAAACGAAATGTCAAATAATTTTTTAATTTTTAAAAAATTTACAAATTTGATCTATACATTAAAAACTTGAAATTGAACAGTTAGATCATTGAAATTTGATATAAAATATAAGTTATTATTATTATAATATACACCTATTATAAAAGGAATATATTTTGGTAACTACCCTTTGGTCTCCATTTTTTAGTTCACCATTATATCCCTTAAAATATATTAAAAAAAAATCTTTTTATATTTTTTCTAAAAAATTATCTGCAACTTTAATATTTGTCTGTGTGTAATTATTGGAGACACTAAGTGCCTCGCCCCTCTAGTATATATAAAAGTAGAGATCCGTTTATTTGTTTCATTCAATAACTCATTCTCTATATCAAATTTTAATAATCCAACTATCAAATTTAAAATTATCAATATATAAATAAGTCTACAAATTTTTTTAAAAAAATCTTAAAATTATTTGATACTTTATTTCATTAATTTAAATCAATGTATAAAATAATTTTATTATTATCTCTATATATATATATATACCGAGTGTTAAAAAATGTATGACCAATGATCCAGAATTTTTTTATGGAATATTCAAAAAAATAAAAAACAAATTCTCGTATGACCCACGAGGAAATCTGTGAATGCTATAAGTACACATGAATACAATAATTGCTATAAAACTATGATCAGAGGTTTTTACTGTTAGCTAAACGTAACTGCTCTAGTCTCTAAATTCAAGGGATAATACAAAATTATGAAATTTACATTGCTATGTACAGAAAAGGTAGCAAGTAGCAAATCAAGTGTGCCATTCTTCCTCCTGATATGAGTAACAAAATCCCAAAGTCAAAGGTCATACACCAAGTTGTGGGCCGTTAAAATCTACTTTGGCTTATCATTTCAGCTACCTCACCCATGACGCTTGTCCCTTTAATTTCTAATAGGCGCAGAGCCAAGTCTTCTTCATTCAACTGTCTTAATCCGTTGCTTATTCTCTTCAACATACCCACATCAAGTTCCTGAATCCACAGTGGCGTGCAACTCACCATCAAGCTCATAACCCCAGACACATATGCACGCCAAGTTGCGCAATCACAGCGAAGAGATACTTTTCCATCTAGGGCATTTGCAAGAAATTCTAAATGAATCTCAAGAACCTTTGGTCGTCGTTTTGATGCTGGTGATGAAGTGTCAATACCCCAGGCAAATGTGCCACTAAGTACGGCAAAACTTGCAAGTGCATAACCTCTCAGCATAGCAACTACAACTCCAGATTCTCCCACTTCCTGCTCTAACCCTTGGGCTGATAAAAACCAGGAAGGTAGTGTTTCTGTAAACAAAGATTGAACCAAACCATAACCACCAGATATCCAAAGAAACGATGCCCCAAGAAGAGCGGCATGCTTAACGCGTGTCATTGATGCAGAAAGAGAAACCTGTCCGTATCTCATTCCATATTTAGTCTTCTTGAGCTTATCCACTTCACCCTTGGGCAATCCACCATTTGCTATATCTCTAACTGAAAGCATCAAAAGAGATACAATTTCTTCTGTCAAGAACATGACATCTCTAATAGACCTGAAAACTCTTAAGTAGAAAATCCCAGGAGCAACTGGAGAGATCCCTCCAGAAACGTGAGAACCAAAACCATGACCAAGGAGAGTGCCAACCCCACCATTGTTATAAATACAGGCAGAACCAAGCCCAAGGGTGGAGGTGAAGCAACTTTTTAAGAGCTGAACTACAGCATCCCTGCTGTGGTGGAAGACAGTTGCAGAGGCAGAGAATACAAAAAAGTCACTCCAACGCTTAACCTTCTGAGCCCACAAAGCACCTACAATGGGCATGCATGGCCAGGGGCAACCAGAAGAAAGAGCGATCAAAGATGGGCCAACCAAAACAACGAAGCGCTCATAAGATTTGTCCAATTTATATGTTATTGTGAGGCTTAGAAAGGCCGCCAATGGCAAAGGAAGTGTAGCTGGACCGTTCCCATCTGCTTGCAGCAGTTAAAATTGTAGTGTCAACTAATTGATTTAATAACCTTATGTCCATGTAAATAAAAAGAAAACAAAAAACACGGTCTGCCAAAAACTCGAGATACAGCAAGTTGCTATTTCTATGTCCGTCATATAGCTGGTAGCTAATTGAGGACTTATTCAACACCCACAAATTACTTCCCAAAACAATTATGAAAATGTAAAACATGACAAATTAGTTGGTCTATAGGAAGAAAATGACATGCTGCAAGAATCACCCAGGAAAGGATAATTTGAATTGCACAGAGGGATTAAACTAAGGATTTCCGTTTAATTAATATTTCCACAGATAAGTAAAGTAAACTTAACAAACCTATGGCAAGGCTTGGCACATCAACACCTGTGGCCGCTAGAATTTTCTTGATTTGTTGTTCGACTGTAGATAAATTTGCCGCAGGGCTGGGCCAATCAGTTCCATTCATAAAAGCAGGCTTCCATACGCCACGTGTTACTTCAGCTGATAAGTAGCTTACAATGGTACCCAAAGTTGCCGGGAGAAAATCAGCAAGATCTTTGAGACCTGAAATAAAGATCAAGCAGAGAATTACTACGCAAACAGCCTTAAAACAACTTCAAAAATAAAAAACATGGCAACCTAGCTTAATTATCTCCCAAACTCAATTTTTGTGTTAAAATACATTAAATAAAATTAGTCAATACCAACTTAAAGAAGCATGGATTTACCTAGTGTTTGGCCTAGCTTTTTTTTATCTTAAAAGATACTACTAAGTTGAAGTTAAAAATAATACCTTCTAAAGTTATTTGGTGATTTTATGGTTTTTTACCTTAATTGTAAACTTCTACATTACTAGAGATTTTGTCAAACAATTGGCATGCACTCCAAACATGTCAATACTCCGTATTCATCCTCAAGACTAGTGAGCAAGATGCCATCGGGAGGCATGGCTTTGAGAATGTGGATATGGAGCTTGGTACCATGAAAAATGTCATATAAATTGGAGCGAGTTTTGAGGATGACATAATTGTGGCTGAGACTGAGGATGAACCCCATGAGGTGGAAAAACGAAACAAGGAAATGAGTGATGTTGAGGAAATAGTAGCAGATCACAACTTTGAAGGAGAAGAAATTGGGGAAGGGCACAGTGCAGGCATCTTCATGTCAAATATAATGGTCACCAGGGAGAACATGGGCAAGGAGGGAGGTGTGCTTTCAAAACAGAGAAGCAGAAGATCCACCATTTAGCTCATGTTAAGCTACATTTTTTTTCCTCATTTCTACTTTTATTTTAGAGCTCCAAAATTATGTTTGCCACGACACCTTTTAAGGAAAAGAAAATCTCCAAAAAAATCCAGGTCAAACACTACTTTTATTTGAATGTAAATTCTAAAAGAAAAAGATCTTGAACTAAGTGTCTTTGCCATGGCCAAAAAACTATTACAACAACAAAGCGGTGTCCAGTCCAACTAAAGAAGAGAATCAAGAGAGGAAGCTTATGAAACTTGAAAATTAAAATCAAGAAGGCTGGAAAAAAGAGTTATAAACCATGTAAATGTAATCTCTTTGTGCCTATCTGATGTGATACCCGAATTATACAGTTTTTAGTGTTATTTTGTATTACAGCTACATGAATGAAGAGGGAAGAACATCGGTATTGCTGTATACGAGAGGAGCAGACAACTACAACCCACCAGAATGCAATGCCAAAGCCTAAGTAACTTTTGGGGCTCAGAATTGAGTCACAAACCACAGAACACACACAGCCAGCCCTTAAATTGCTTTTCCTTCTTATAACTGTAAGTAATACAGGAAAAAAAAAAGAAGAAAAAAAAAGAGATACTCCAAAAAAAAAAATAATACTGCATCTCTAAAAAATCATTGTTTGGTCCCCTTAAGAAAAATAGTAAATTAGCAATACTAGAAACTTAGGAGGCATCACTTTGTCACTTCCAGTCATTTTTAGTGGCACATCAAATGTACTTCAGTAATATAATATGAATTATCATTACTATCAGCAGCATATTATGAATTCTGCTGAATTGCTTAAGTTGTGATGTCCAGTACCCCTTGTCTAGTGTTTGTTTCACAGATTCCTACACCTTTATCCAATAACTAAATGCCAATACACAGACCATAAATCCTATATTATGAAACTCCAGAGCTCAACAAGGATGCTTCCCACATTTAACTGAGAAAACTCTTGACAATACTGTATTTATTTCACTGATGAATGGACAAGGATAATTAGTGAATGACAGTTGCATGAGATTTTGGTATATAATCTCTTTTTATAGAAAACATTTGTATTCAGCCTTTCACTTGCCAAGTTATTCCAAGAATCAAGTCATGTTCAATCTTTCATTTTTTCACAGGACATCTTCATTTCATAGCTCTGAGACTCTCACATTTTAAAGCATGAAAGCCTCAGTAATCCTGAATAGTTCTCAATGATGCATAATGATAAAAGCAAATTAAAAAATAAAAAGCTCAAATATATCCACGAGTAAACTGGGCAAACCTGTAGCCAATTCACGAGGAGAGAGTCTTCCATGAGCACAAGCAGTAAGAGCAGCATCAAGAACAAATGGAGTCGCTTCAAGGATGTCCCATGCAGGCACTTTGAGTTTCATCAAAGCATCATCCAATGAAGAAGTGGATGAATTGCTGCTTCCTGAAGTTGTAGGTGTCAATGTCTGAGCACTTCGATTTATTTTCCTGCACATCATGCTTAGTAGTGCTTCAACGATCTGAGAAACTGACCCTCCAGGTCCAGGTGCAAGGGTAGAGCATGTGGATTCAATACATTCTCGATGTTGCCGATACCAGATGTTCAATTTTGGAAAGGAATCCATAAATAAGGGCTCTGTAGAAAAACTTATCAATTTTGAAAATCTTCTACTTCTTACACGATCTTTTGGTGATTTCCCAAAGGATGCTAACATACAATTCCGAACCAATAAAAGATACTCAGGACCTAATTGTGATCCTAATGCTGGAGTTGCTGCACCCCCCATCACATGTTCAATAGGTGGAAGACTAAACCGCCATAATCTCAGCAGGAGAATAAATGCATTAGAGAACACCGCATGGCAAGTGAGTTTTTCACCAGTTACAGCAGTCCATGAGACATTAGGAATACATGATCCAAAAGCCTCACATATTGGCATTAACACAGCTGCAAGTAGTGGAACCTGAAAGAAGACAGTAACATGACTACATAGAATCAGGCAACAAACTAAAAGCAGCAATAGTTATTGTTGAGATCTCATATTGACTAGAGATATAGTCAACATAGTCCATATAAGACTTAAACCATTTTCACCTTACCAATTGATTTTGTAAAGTTGAGTTAAGCCCTAAGACCAAATTTTAAGATGATATCAAAATCTATCCCATATGTCATTGAGTCGCCCATATTTGTCACACTCTAGCTGTCTATTCCTAGGCATGAAGGAGTGTTATTATTGGGCCACCCACATTTGTCCATGCTCCAAATGTCTGGTCATGGCCATGAGAAAGTGGTATTGAGATCTCATAGTGGCTAGAGATATGGACAACGGAATTCTCATAAAATTTGGACAGTCCTCACTTTCCAAGCTGAGCTTGTGGCATGAGTTAGGCCTTAAGCTCACATCATAAGATGATATAAGAACTTATCCTAAATCCATTATCAGGCCACCGGCCACCCATATTTTTCTATGCTCTAAATGTTATTCCCAGGCATGAAAGGATGTTATTGGGCAACCTGCATCTGTCCACACACTATATGTCCAATCCTAGGTGTGAAAGGGTTTGTCTAAATCTCTTGACTAGAGATAATATAGTCCTTGTAAGGCTTGGGCGGTTCTCACCTTATAACTTCATTTAGTGAGATTGAGTAAAGTCCCAAGCCCAAATTCTAAGAGTTATCAATCATCCCATCTCTTTCTCCAAAATGATTAATTAAAATTACTTTTAATTGATAGTACCTTAAAATTGAATAACACAATTTTTTGTTGTCTATGTACATATGGGGGAGGGGTGTTCTCAAACTGTTTTCTTCTTCATATTAGCTTTCCGTTTACTTTTGAGTAAAAATTATCATAGACCAATTGGTTTGTACATGTATGAGTCAGAACATACATTGTTAAATCTGAACATACCGCGCCATGTAGGGAGAATATGTGAACACTGTCTACAGGTGAAATTCCAAGCAGAAGGACATTCAAAAATGGAGCATAGCTAATCAAATAGCTTTCAGTCCCAGAATATGTAGGAGGAACTGGAGGTGAAAGCAACTTTATGATGAAAAAAATTATGTGTTCCTGCAAACAAAGATAATCATTATAATCATGAAAGTAAAAAAACAAAAAAGGGGAAAAGAAGGGGATGCAAACAAAATAATTAAAAATAAAGTAGTTGTGTATGATTTTCGATTTATGAGAAGCCAGATTAAAATGGTGATGGGATCACCTGCACATTCCAGCCACGTACTAAAGATGCTCCACATAGAATGGTAGCAGCAGATATCTTTTCTTCATCCGAGCCATTGATTGCAAATTCAAATATTTTCTCAATCTCTGCTAAGCTTACATGACATCCAAGAGCTTAAATTCAGTTCCATTACCACTAGTAAATATACAAAATAGAGCATCTCATATACCTTACTTCAGGAAACAGAGAGGTGTAACTGAAGCCCAGGTATTAAACAATACTTCACCCAATTAGACAACTACCACTTTCAAACACACATTCTGATAAGTGTGTGTATTCTTTGAGTGTGAGTCTATTTAATATCTATGCATTCATAGCTACTTTGCTTGGAAACAAGTAATTTTCTATTTTCTTTACAAGATGAAAAGCCCCTTTATCCAAGATACAGGGGATGGGAGTAATAAAGCCCACATAGACAAGGCACTACCCTGCTCAGGCTGAATCCTTAACAACTTTTTAATAATATATATAGTATATCTATGGTATTTCAATATTAACTCTATGTTGTGTATTTTTCATATCATGTTCACTTATTTATATTTAAATAACAATATATTTTAAAGATTCAAAAAATTTTATAAAAATATTTATTGAAGAGAAAAGAAATACAGATACAGAAGTAGCAGTATCAGGAATACTCCTCTCAACAACTAATTGGAAAAAAATAAATAAATACAAGCACATGCTCAAAAGAGCACTCCAATTGCTCTGAACGTGCAACAAAGAAACCCTCTTTTGAAAGTAATGCACATGGACATAAACCAACTAGGAGTCAAACAAAATAATCTTACCAAAACAAGATTTACACTTTTACATTAAAAATAGAAGATGACATTGAAATACTTGTTTATAAATGCTTGTGTTTTAAGAGTATGATACAAAGCACACTGAGGATGACGATGAATTTCTTTTTTTCTTTTTTGAGGGGATTATGCATCAAGGTGTCATTACCTGATACCACAACTTGAACTTAGGACCTCTACCTAAATCAACACCCATTCCAACCCAACTTCAGTTCAGGATGAATATATTATTATATTTCGTGATAATGCAATTTTCTATAACTACAACTATTAGGCAAGAAAAAACAAATATTTTCCCTCAAGTACAATACTACATGGAGTTGGCTAATATAAATTGATGCTGGATAAATACTGTAGAAGAAATTAGAGTAGGCTAGAGATTTATTTGATAAGAGAAAATAAAAATACAACAAAAAGTAGACTAATCTACAAGTCTTGATCAACAAGGAGAAATAAGAAACTCTACTTCCCTAAAGTTTGAATCCAAATTCAAAGTTAAATCCTTAAAACATTTACTCCACAATACATAGGCTATAAATTCAAAGAAAATAAGTTAAATATCATCTCCAATATCCTTAAAAAAAAAGGCTAACATTGACTATTTAAAGTAACTAAAGTAAATGGACACATAAACCTACAACAAAAATGCCAAAATACTCACACTATCTTATGCATGAAAGGCAAAGATTGGCAAAGCCAATCTTTGCCAGCAGACTGAATGGTATCAACCAAGGGTATTCAAATGTGTTAGAAATTTAGATATGGTCTAAAATACACTAAAAGGTCCATTATAGAATCTATAGAACAATTCAATGGATTAAGGGCATGTAGCAACTCTATAGTGAAATTGAAAGGAAATGAAAATTTGAAATAGAAAAACTAGACAAGATTTTTTTTTTTTTTGAGTTTTTGTCATGGCTGCTTTGTCATGTGGAAAAAGCAACTCTCACATAGCACATGTAATGTATGAGGGTAGAAATGATGAGGTAGCAGCATACCTAGAAGCAGGAGTAGCAACTAAGACATTAACCAACTGAGGAGTTAGTGATGATCCCTTCATCAATGACGACCAGCTAGGCAAATGGTTAGGAATACTATGAGGTAGCTGGTTGCAAGGTGCACTCACATAACCAGGCCAGAAATAAGCCGAGGTATCAAGCAGATGTCTCGCAATACAAGCCTCAACAATCAGATGCCTCAAGTTACCAGCTGCAAGAAAACACAAAATATGAACTGTCACTCCCAAAATAAAAGAGGTTTATCAGGGGCCCAAGACAAACACAAAAAGACCCTTATGATACCAACACAACTGAGAACAAAATAAACCAAAGAATACAGAAACTTAGATCATTCGCAACAAAAATATGATTAAATCCCATAGAACCAAGCTTAATTGAAATGACAAAATAATGATGTCTAAAATTAGGATAAGCAATTCAGCATGATAGAGATAGAGAGAAGGCTCAAGTTGTATACGGCCTGAAATTCATTAAAGGACAATTAACAAGATAAATGAAAGTGGAGTCTTATTATGGACCATATTGCCTGTTTGCACTTGCACTCAGGAGTAGGCATACATTGTCATTATTTTTTTATCAAGGAATTTCCTTAAATTTTAGTTATAGCTGTATAAAGATACAATTGGACACAATTTGTTTTTAGTTGTTCTTATAAAACAGTTCACTTTTTTATTTTAGGACCTCCAACTGTGATCCTCATTCTCCCTGTGTCTGCACAAACCTCAAAAGGAGTCCTACCAAAGTGCAGATATTTATACAAGCTCTTTCTATAACCAAATACCTTTAGAGATTCATTTTATAAAAGCAACTACTTACAAAAATTTGTGGGCAAGTCATTCACATTCGTATATTCCAAGTATCCACTTTGTCCTGATACAAACAAGGTAGCCTTGGCAGCAGCCTGATTGGCTCCCCAAATAACAGATTGAGGTGGACTGAGTAAATTCTCATAATCACCCAATAGCTGTAAGCTTATAACCAATTCCCCACGACGAACTCCCAAAGCCTGTTTGTCCTTCCTTTGATTGGTGGGGCTCCGCTCAGCTTCTTCAATAAGTTCCCCTTCCTCTTCTTCAATAAGGTTAGCAACTACAAGGGTTGTAATGCACAATAGCATACACAAGCAGGTATCAAGACGAGGTACAGGACCCTCAGAAGGATCCCTCTCCTAAAAAAGGGGAAAAAATATGTACATCTTAAGACAAGTTAATATAGTCTAAAAGCATGCAAAATTAGAGTCACTGACTACATTGAGCACATGCCTAAGTTCAGCAAGCAGTTTTTCTCACAAAAAAAATAAAAATAAAAAATAAAAAATAAATAAAAAAAGAAGAAGATAAAAAGTGTGTCCCTATCCTAAAATATGAAATTACTAGTCTGCATTTGCTTTCAGGAATTCCCCTTTTACCACATGAAAAAAAAAAAATGATCACCTACAATAAACTCTAGTTAATTAACTTCCCTTGGATCAGTTCTTAGTTCTTACCCTTTGAACTAGCCGTAGTGCCGCAATCCATAAACCTAAAAAAGCACTGTGCCATGCAGTACCATTAACTGCTTGCAAAGCCTTAACCAACCCTGCAATAAGCCAACATTCACTTCAACTAAGCAATTCAACAATGCATCAAAAACCAACAGTCTTATCAACACTAGATACAGTTAAGTGCAGTAACAGTTACAACGCTCAAATTTATGCATACCAGTAAGCACTTCAACAGCACTATTTTCCGCCACATGATTGCCATCCATTGCATCCTCAAGGATAAGATCAATAGGAAGCCAAAGCAAAGACCAACTATCATGCCGAGATTGAACTGCGCAAGAGTCAGCACCAGCAGCCATGACAGCACTCAGTTCCAGCTTAGGCGTAGTTTTCCATTCAGAAGACAAAAGCTTAATCCCAGCAGTGGAGTTGAAATTCAAAGGCACAAGGGACTCAGGAGTAACATGCTTCAAGTTCCTCAACAGTATCGAATTCCCCGCAAGCCGCTGCAGTTGGTGAACAAAAGGTCCCCAATGTGCCGGCCTACATACAAACAAGCATCCACCAATTAAATAAAACATCTTATCAGAGAGAACTTAGAAGCAGTTTTTTTAGTCCTGTTCTCCTATTAACATTAAAAACATGTTTGAATAAACTCATCTAGAAACACTTTTAGCCTTTTAGGTAAAGAAAATAGGAAGACTAAATGAAATTAGGTTTCCCATTGACTAAACCTCTAATTAGAATTGGACTTTTACCTCCGTGATAGTTCACATAACAAATAACAAATATTAACATTAAAAGCCTATATGAATAAACATGTCCAAAACCACTCTCGGGAGAAGAAAATAGAAAGACAAAATGAAATTGACTTTTCCATGAACTAAAATTAGCTCATACATAAGATCATTTATAGAAATCCTCTCATGTTTAGCTTTTCCAAAAGCTTATTTTTAATTTATTTAGCTTATAGATAAAGTTATTTCATTTTTCCATACTATTTTCTTCTCATAAATATTTATAGAAAATTTATCCAAACGAATCCTAAAACTTGAATTCTAATTGAATTGAATAACAATACCAACGGCACTTAAGTAACTAAATTCCTAATCCAAGTGAAAGTTGAATTAAGGTGTTACATGTTCCGTTGAACCAAGGAGAGGATCCTGGAAGTGACTTTATCGTGAAGAAATCGAGCAATAAGCTGAATCGCCATGGCTGTATTTTTCCTATGCAAAGCATCCTTATTGTGGTTAGGAGCGTCAATTAGCATATCAACGTGCAAGGCATCCTGGGGTTGGAGCAATCCATCGTCGTCCAAGGAAGCTTCGAGAAGCTGGGAGACGACGGCGAAGACGAAGTGAACGAGAAGGAGGCCGGGCGAGGAGAAGGGCTGGGAGAGGCGGAGAGCGTGGTGCAGGGAGGCCATGACTTTGGGGTAATTGGGAGAGTGGAGGTTAGAGGAGAGAGAAAAGGCGTGGCGGTTGAGGAGGTCGATGTAGAGAGCGTAAGCGGCGGGGTGGAGGCGGCGGTGGGGGACGACGCGGGCGGCGAGGAGCGAGAGGACGAGCAAGGGAGGGACGAGGCGGACCGCCATGGCTTTCTCGAGATACTTCCAGGTGATAGGCAGGTGGTTGTCGAAGCAGATGTGGGAGACGAGGCGGTGCGCCAGCTGGATTGATGGGAGGGACACTCCCGCTGAGTTTAGGATCGATGTCACCTGAATTGACCATAGCAGAGGGTCTGTTTTGTTCTCCTGCGCCCACTTCGTCGCTTCCATTACTCCCTCCCACACATCGTTTCCCTCCCCCATCGCTTCAACCTTCTTTTTTCTATTTCCACAACTCTCTCTACTCACTCGTCCATCACCCATTCATATTTCTTTCTTCTTCCTTTGACTCTCTCTCTCTCTCTCTCTCTAATTTTGAAAAGTCCTCTACGGAGCCGTCTTCACACGCCAACTCCCTCCCTTTTTAACGCCGTCCATCCCTTTCCTGCATCTTTCAAAACTTAATATTTATATCATTGCATTGAAATAATAATGCTACTTCTCACTACCCAATACCTAAGTTCCACCTTTTTTTATTATTATTTTTGCTTATTAATTATATTATATGCTCATCTATTGGATTTTGAAACTTCTTACCATTGCTAAGCGTGGAATGGAATCAGATCATTTCGCCAAGATCTTGTCTCACTTTTTCGTCTAACCAATCACAATCGCATACAAAAGTATTCAAATAAGAATAATGTCCTACTTTCTTAAAGCATCTCCAATACCAACATCATGTGTTAAATCACTCTTGTCATATCAGTTCTCTCCCACTTTATGAATTACTTAAATTTTAACAAAATTATTAAAATTTAAGCAACTCATAAAGTGGGTCAGAGCTGATGTGGCACAGGAGATTGCTTATAAGCAACCTCCATTGCAGATGCTCTTATAGGATTTTTTCTCTTAATTTTTTACTCCTTTCTCTATATATGTGCAAGATATTTTTTTTATAAGATTATTTTAAAATTATCTCTTGTATTAATTTTTTTTTATAAAATACTTATAGTTACTTCGAAAGCATTAAGAGATAATGACTGGATCATTGTCATGGAGGAGAAGCTTCATCAATTCGAAAGAAATGATGTTTAGACCCTAGTGCCAAAGCATGATTGGAACCATATTTAGAAATAAGCTAAGCAAATAAGGTAAAATGGTAAGGAATCAGGTAGATTGGTAGTTCAAGGTTACAATCAGCAATAAGGTATTGATTTCGTTAAAACCTTTGCTCTTGTTGCTAGACTTGAAACTATTGGGATCATGTTAGCTTTTGCAACTCACAAAAAACATAAAACTTCTACAAATGGATGTAAAGAGTGCCTTTTTAAATGGAATAATTAAAAATAAAGTGCATGTTAAACAACCTCTGGGTTTTGAAAACCCTAATTTTAGAGAGCAGGTTTACAAACTCTAAAAGGCTCTTTATGGTTTGAAACAAGCTCATAGAGCTTGGTATGATACACTACGTAACTTTTTTACTTAGTAATGATTTTGTGAGAAATAAAGTTGACAAGACTCTCCTTAGAAAATAGTCTAGAACAAATTTCATTATAGTTTAAATATATGTAGACAATATAACTTCTGGTGCTACTAATGAAATTCTGTGTAAGGAATTTTCCAAGCTAATGCAGATAGAATTTGAGATAAGTATGATGGGCGAGTTGAAATTCTTCTTGGGACTTGAGATCAAGCAAACAAACGAAGACATTTTCATTCATCAACAAAAATATACTAGAGAACTTCTTCAGAAGTTTAGAATGAATGTCTGCAAGTCAATGTCCACATCCATGCATCTGTCTGTTAGTCTGTCAAAAGATGAATCAGTTAAATCAATAGATTAGATGATCTATAGATGTATGATTGAATCTCTACTCTACCTAACTGCAAGTAAACCTGATATCATGTTCAATGTCTATCTTTGTGCTAGATTTCAATTTGATCCCACAGACTCACATTTAATAGTTGTTAAATGAATATTTATTTATCTTGCAAGTTTTGCTAACCTTTATTTGTTCTACAAAAGGAATAATAATTTTAGGTTAAAAGGATTTTGTGATGCTGACTATGTTGGAGATATAATAGAAAGAAAGAGTATTAGTGGAGCTTGTCAATTCTTAAAAAGTTGCCTCATCTTGTAGGCAAGCAAGAAACAAAACTTCATAACTCTTTCAACTGCAAAGACAGAGTATATCTCAATAGTTGGATGTTTCTCACAACTCTTATGGATCAAGTATCAATTAAAAGACTATTTTAATATTTAAAATAATATACTTGTATTATGTGATAACACCTGTGCCATTAATTTGTCTAAAAATCCTATGCAAAAATGTGTTTTTGATATAAAATTTATACTAAGCATTTGATTAGAGTTACTACTTCATTATGAAAAATTGTGCGATTTTTTTATATACATTATTTAACCTCCCTTCTAGTGTTTATATATTTTTTTTTCACACATATTGATTGTAAAACAATCAATTGTTGATCCGTATGAGCCATACATATATAAAGTGACTAACTAAGTAAAGTATCAAGTTGATGGGTAAAATCGTTAACTACGTAAAGTATCAAGTTGACAAGCTAATTCCATGTGATACTTAGATATGGATGTTAAGGTCATGGTAGGCTCACACTCAAGTTGTTTAACCTTGACGATAATACTAAACTTTTATAGTTTAAGTGACAAAACTTGATAAATTAATTTAAGTTGTTTTTGAGGTACTCTAAGAGGCCTAACATAGTATCTACCTAATCTAGTTGTGATGGGTTAGACGTAGTGATTCAACATAGTCAAGCTACTTAGACTATTCACATTTATTGGAAAATAGTAATAAAAACTAATAATCATCCTAAACGTGAACAAATAACAAAATTTAAATCTTAACTACACCTCAATGTCACATCTTATCAGAGCATGAACCTAGCACAAAATTTAAGTCTCATCTCCAACATTATCAACATCATGTTAAGTCTCACCAATAACATATACACAAAATAAATAAAAGAAACGGAGAGTAAAAAATATTTTACTCTGACTTACAATGTAAAATATAGTTGAATAGTCAAATGTACAACAACAATACAATATCAACAATAAATATAATAAAAACAAGGCATAATATGTAAAAAGGAATATGTCACAATACATTTAGTTATAATTTAATATTTTTTTGATAAAGATAAAAAAAGTTACAAAGACAATTGCTATAGGAATAAAACTTAAATTTCTATGCTTTTAAGTTCTAATCATCCTAACCCTTTCACTTCCAACCACCAAACTAATCTTAGCGATGTAATTATAATTTAATATTTATTATGTTTATTATTTTTCTTATTAATTTAAATTTAAGAAATTACGACTTTATTTAATCATATTTGTTACATTTATTATATAACTCCTTCCTACCGTATTTATTAATACTTGTTACATTTATTATAGAACTCATTCTTACCATGTTGAATTATATAGAAATAGTGTTTCTTCCATGCTATGTTCAAAACGACCAACTATTTAAATTAATGACTTTTTGATTAATATTAATATGTACATAGTTAGGAAATTTTATAATAATTAGTTTTAATTTAATAATATTAATATCGAGAGAGAGGTTTTTAATGAAAACTCATACATTATGAAAAAAAACTGTTTTAATGAATAAATTTAATAAATATATTATATGTGGTAAATACAAAATAACTATAAAAATACAACATTAATCATCTAAAAAAGCACTACATTAATAATATTTTTTTTAATGATTGAATATTAATATTAAGTGTTACATTAATATTTATGTTAAATTTCCATAAATATCATTAATCTAAACAATTTAATTTTTTTTATTAAAAATAATTAAAATTATTAAATATAATTAAATTTAACAACTACATTAAATTTTAGGTTTTCGAATATAAAATAAGTTTATCATTTTAGAATAAATTTATATCTACCATTTACTTATTCAATAGTTTAGATTAATTTATATTTTAAAATTTTCAAATTTTTTTAAAAATATTAACAATTCAGTTATTATTTATATATTTACAATTGGCACTTGTCCTCATCCAAGTTTACAAACCATCTGTGGTCAATAAAAAAAGTCTACCTTTACAATCTGAAAAAGAACTTACCCATAGTAGAGAATGTAATCCATGTTTGAACTTTGAAATACGAATAGTCAATTTTGGTGTATACATTTTTTACCTTTTTACTATTCAATTAATTTACTTAATTACGTTTATATCTCTTAACTATTTTATTTAATTTCCATATTATTCTCTAGTTAACTCTTTCTTAATTTTCATTTTGTTTTATTTTTAATTTTTTTTTATAACAAGAGATAAGTGTTTCATTTTTACTAATTTAAAATAAAAGATGTGACTGAACCTACTAGCACCCGTTACCACATTTTTTCATAGATCATAAAAGTGATAAAAACTGGTTCTCCTAATAGTTTCCAAACACATAAAAGATTTTTTTTTTCTTTTTAAAATACATTAGTCAAAGTATATTTTCAAAACATGTTTATCTACAAGTATATTTTTTTTTACTGAATTTACTAGCATTTTCTGCACGTGGTAAAATGTTTTATTTTGTATAACTAAGAAACATCATAAAGTATACATATAGTCAAATATTATATTTAAATATATAGAATATGTTTCATAAAAAATTATAAATTAAATTATATTTAAATTTTGTAAATTGCATTTTAGGTTTGTGATAAAAAATTTAAATTATGATATAATTATTTTAATAATTGATAATTTATTTAAAAATAAATATAAAATATATATTGAAATAGATAAAAAAAAATAAAAAAACTTAAAAAACTTTCTTATAAAAAAAGCTGTCGTTAAAAGAAATTAAAAAATTATTGTAAAAGATAATTATACTCATTTATATTTTCTATTTTCAAAATATATCTTATTTAAATAAAATGTAAGAAAAAAATTGAATATATAAAGAGATAAAAAGTGATAGGTGAGAATTCATGATCTTTGATTAATCATGTGACTTGGATGAGAATTCACTAAGTTTTCTTTTAAAATTTATATAAATTTTCCTCCATCAGGTTAAAACCCACTCTTCTTTTTATCCGTAAATAAAACGGCTGGTAATACTTTCGCACCCTGTGGTACTCTTTTTAGAGGGTTTTGGGTTTTAACGCAGTTCCTCAGGAACGGTGAGTCCTTTGCGTAGCAGAGGTTGCCCAAGTGTAACGTTGAGATGGGGGCAAAGGCAGAGGAAGCTTTGAAGACGAATATTAAAAGGGCTTCCAACAAGTCATCACAGGGTCCTGATTTTTTGGTACTAGTAACACTTCCTCTCAATTTTCATTTTTTTTTCCTCAAACTTTTATGTCAATATATATATATTTTTTAAATTTTTTTTTCTTCTCAATCGGTGAAGCCCCTGGAAGGTGGTCCTGCTCGCAAGCT